AGAACATCAATGAGGCAATTGAACAGTTCTCTTATCTTGTAATCCATGTGTCTATCAGTTCTAAGTTTCAAGTGGTGAAACGTTAAAGGCTGTGCGACGGAGCTGCCCTGCAATTCATTCCTGAAATTATTGTTGCATTCCCTATTAGTTCATTAACTTTATATTAGAATCAACATTATTATCTATGATAGCGAATTTGGCGGGAAACAGAGCTTTCACACAGTGACTTTACTGGTTTATTTAACTTCGTGGGGATTCCTCCAACGTCAGGCTTTTCCTTGGTTTCAACACCGGTGTCGGAGTCTCACAACACTAACTGGGGGAACCAAGTATGCCAAAGATTCTAGCTGAACCGAGTGGACACGGTGCGAGCTTTCGCTTCGCAGAAACGGCCGGACTGAAGCGGGAGCGGACCGCTACAGTGACGGGGAAGCAACAGCTGGACGGGGCCAGCGAGTGTACCGGATCACACTATAGTTCGAGCCATGGTGTGCATGGTCAACCGGGGCCAGTGGCGTAGCCAGGAATTTTTCAGGGGGGGGGGGGGGGCGCTGGGGGGCAGGAACAGTTCATGGGGGGGGGCGTCATGTAGATCAATGATAATTTTTTTAGAAACTCAAAATCTCAGTGGGGGGGGGGGGCGACTGGGGGGGGGGGTGGGGGGGCGACAAGGTTTCATGGGGGGGGGCTGTCGCCCCCCCCCATGCCCCCCCCCCCCCCGTGGCTACGCCACTGTGTACTGTAGGCCTACATGTACGTCATGTAGGCCTACGTGTATACGGGGGGGGGGGGGGGGGTACGAGCGAATGTTTTTCTCAGCTACCTCACGTGACAGGCACAACCTCGTATGTCACATGTCATCCACCTCATCCAGAAAACGACAAAACCACGGTCATCTTTGTGGCTTCCAAAACTGCAACCTGTCATTCCCAACAGCATATCAGCTGGCAAAACACAAGAAAACTGAAGGTCACCAGTGCAAAAGAGGAAGACCGACAACTTCACGCCGTCACTGAACTAGACACACATGTACATGGTGTTCAATTCTGAATGACCCCTTAGCCGTGGCAAAACTAGAACGAACAAAACGAAGGAGATATTTGTAGAGCAAGCATATAGCCTGATGTATAGCGCAGCGGCGCAATTTCAACGTCGTAGAACACTGCTGGCTGGAACACATTTTTGCCCGGGAGTAGGGGGTGCTGAAGTTGGGGGTGCTGCATCACCCCACCCCCCCCCCCCCGTTCCCGTGGGCTTGCTTTATGATGAAATGAAATAGTTACTCACATCAATAAACATGAAGCCCCCACCGAGGCCTCATCAGTAATGGCCAAATGGGTCCCGTGAACACCGGCCGAGCGAGATTGCAGGATCGAGGTGGAGTTGGTGCCGGCCCAGTGAACGCTGACTCCGAGTTAGGCGATTTGGTTTGATGTGGATCGCCTCACAAACACCTCACTCATACTATATCTACCTTCCCTGTCTATGACCGTTGTTGGGCTTACGTATGTAATTATAACTCTGTTTATGCAAAGAACTGGTCCAGCTCCTTCAGCGGTGTCCTAGGAAGAGGAAATTTTGTCTCTCCCTCCCCCCCATGTGCCTCTACCGGTCCTCGATGATGGGCCTCTTCCCCCTCAGGTCCCCATTCTACCCGGCCATTGGCTTGTGGTGGCGCCCACGCCCACCGGCCAAAAGCCGCATTTGTGTCGGAAGTAAGTGGAGTGCTACGAAAACCACTATCAGCAAAACTTTTCTGTCGATAGTGCTTTGCTACCCATTTTTGAGTCTGTTTCTGCCGCCCCTCGCTCTGTGGCGCGGCCGACTCCATACCGGTTTCTACTTTTATCTAAGAGTGATTCTTGTGATTAGCCCCAATTTTCTCCAAATGGACAGGCGTACCGAATTGTTCCTCAATTAAATTTCCTCAGTGCAACAATCCCACTTCTGACACCATTTTGTGGCGGTTTTCCCTGAGGTCAACGAACCCCTGACTCGCCGGGACCAAGTAACCCGGGAGCTGCGCCGCTGGCCGCTCGCGCGTAAATATGGCCAGGGACCGGATCCGTTTGGGTGGAAATATACCGCCCGTTACACTGAGGACAAGGAACTCTGAAAAATGGCACACCCGGAGAGGATTATTCTTATTCTACCGTACTCATGTCTAGCTAATTTATTTGACTCCACTTCCACTTACTCCTTCCGCACGTTATTTACAAGAATGAACACTACTACAATAACACTACCCTCATTAAAATCATGACAACAGCAACAGTATAACTGTAAACTCAGACTACACTGACAATGCCCTAGATCGAGGTATACATGGTTGCATGTGATTATGTACACGTCATCGTACTCACATAAATTATCCTCCAACCCGCTCGATCCAGTTCCAGCACACAACTTAACTGCTAATCAGATGTCCTCCTCAAAAGCTGCAACTACATGCACGAAGTATTTACACTTTATACAAATTGGTCTCACTCCTCTCCAGGACTTCACTCAAACTACTCAGCTCAACAACAACTGACTAATTTACCACTGAGCTCTGCCCCTTTATACCCAGGCAGTCCCAGTTTCTATTATTTTCCCAACTTCCAAGTAATCACTTGAATCCAACCAGCCATGTTTAAAAACCCTATATAAACAGAATTGGTCACCAAATAATGGTCCAAGAATAACCATTTCCAGTTCCCTTCCGCTCATACGATTAATTTTGCAGCCCTTCCTAAAAGTGCTCAAAACATACATGTATCTGTTTGTCTCTTTCTAGCCTAGGTTATTTTACATATCCCCCTTTTACTATCCACAACATCGTTTTACACATCTCAAAACACCCCGTCAGTCTACTGACAGCTACACATGTAATCCTTAACTTATTCCCTATGACTGGACACGGCTGACGTTCCACAGCTCCCAAACATCCAGTCCCAACCCACACGACTATTTTTTGTTATGGAACCTACTCTAGCCACCAGTCTTATACACATTGAATCCAGGCGCTCACCCCGCCCTGCTTCTGTAGTTCACAAGTTCACCAGACCCATTTGCGTTACAATACTATTAGTAAGGGCTGTTTGGGGGTCAAGTACCAAATACCACAGAATACTACATGTGCTGTGCACACTTGTATGGAAAGAAATTAATACTTCAGGTTACTACTTAGTGGTATTTTGTAGCATTGGGGGCGGTTAGGGAGGTTGTTTTGGGGCGGGAAAATGACCGTAAACACACCAGGCATACTCTCGTCTGCTTCACTTGTAAATTAGTTTTATCACTGTAACCAGATCAATTATTATTGAAATCGGGGGAATTATCGAAACATGTGTCCATCCAAATTGAACACTGTTAATATTCGTCAAAATCTCCCCATTGTACTCACTTCGTATTCAAGTTCCCACCAGCTTCAATCCTAACCTCGAAGTCGTCCGGTTACGTTTATCAGTCATAACACTCGGGCAGCCGCGCTCACGTACGAGCTGGGGTAGTGGTTGACAGTTGACGCCACAAGGCAGATATTTATCACGTGATGGCCAAGCGAACAGCCCCGTGTAAGTTTTACTTACACGTGTAAGCTAATCGAACGCACCCATAATAAAAAAAATAGTAATACCGCCCTTTTGTTACTAAATAATTATTTCCCGGAATTATTGTAATAATGCGGGTCTAAATGTAGCATAGTTTGATGTGTAGGGTCGTACGAACAAACGCCCTCGTGTAGTTCTAGGATTATGAAATCGTAATACACTTGATTGAGTTGGAAATAAAATGTAAAACAAATCATGAAAAAAATAAAACACACTAACACACCGACCCCCCCCCAAAAAAAAAACAAAAAAAAAAAGAGGTCTTACATTACGACTTCCATGCCAGTTTGACACACTTCTCAACGATTAATAATAATATAAATACTAAAAGAGAAATAAATAGAGCGCAGGCAAGCCTATGCACTGAAACAATTCAAAGAACAAACATACAAATTGTATTATTTAAGTTAAAAACAAATTAACCGATTCCTTCTGCCATTTTGTTAGACAACAGACATCTTCAGGGGTTTACAGCACAGAACAAAACGATTCAGAATGCCTTCATTTTATTTGTTCAACAAACTTTAATGTTTATCAACATTATAAAAATAAATTCCATATACCAAGCACAAGTTAAGACTTGAAAATCCCTTTTGTCCCCACTTGCTTGGATTGGCAACCACAGCCTTTGCTTTCTCTCTGTGATTAACGACACAACAAAAACCACAATTGAAAAGTGGCGCAATTCTCTTTTCATAAACTTGGTCACTGCTCAGTCAACCGTGAATGTAATGATATGATCACTGGTGTCATTTTAAAGAGGAGATTCAACCCTAACAGAGGATATGTCCCTTTGATTCCCATTATGCCCTACTTCTGTTCCAATTAGCAATAATATCTCGGTTTCGTTTTTTTGTATCCACTCTGTATGTAATGCTTTAACTTCACGTAATGACTTCCAAACTGCTGTAGGGGCTATGCACATGGCAATACAAAACAGTTACTAAATCACGTAATTAGTGAGTTAGTACAATGGTCAACTGGCAGGTTTAAATACATACACGTTGCTCCATCAATCAATATATTTACAAAAATGTATGTGCCACAACTTGCAGAACATGCGCAACCTGTTGCACGCATGGCAAAACCTCAGAAATGCTAGTTATTTTCGTGGATTATTCAGAAGACCAGACTGGACATGAGTAGTCAAGCAACGAGCTGGGGTGGGGAGCTTGTACTTGCCCTCAATACTAAAAAAGGTATGCGTTCTTTCAGCAAAACGAAAACAATTCACACACATCCCTTTGTGATTTGTTTTCGTTTTGCTGAAAGAACACTGAACTTTTATGTGATCCGTGGACAGAACCTTAAAACGGTAGTTGTGTTTGAAATTCTGTAACTTGAAAAGTACATGAGTGATTTGAATGATTCTTGTACTAAAACAAAGCATATGAATTGGGCTTTAAAATCCTATATTTTGAAATGGCTATACATGCAGAACTTCACTAAAGCAATGGTCCAAAAATTTGGGTTTAATTTTTTTTAATCACCCTGTATTTTGAAATAACAAAATGTAAGCAAATCGACTGTCCACAAAAATAGGCCCCACCAATTTCAGTCAGAAGCTTGCACTTGATGACAGTACTGTATCTTGAAAAAAACCTAAAGTTTGTTTTTTCTTTTAATAAAATCTCTTGTACAATTTTGTTCCAACCATGATCTCTCTTCACTTACAAGGGATGCTAGTGCTAAGGACACTGTCTGGTGTTTGCTCCACACTAGACCAAAAGTTGCGGGCTCTTAAAGGGAAAAAAGTCTAGTTGTCAAAACAAAATCTTTGTACTCTGGGGTGAAGCCTTGATCAGATCGAGCTGCAGAGCTATCTCTGTAGCAAGTGTGTAATAATCTGAAACCCTTTGTGGAAAACCTTTGGTTTTCAAACTTAGATCTCCATATACTGGAGTCTGTAGGCCCTATATCAGACAACTTTGCAAAGCATATTACATTGTAGCGAGTGTACAATAGTCTAGGACCCTTGGGGCGTATTAAAAATCATCAGTTTTAAACAAAGGCCTTCCTCTTCAGGAGTCTGAACCCCTGACTTCTATTGCCCATCCAACTCTGCAGGAATGTAACCAGACTATGGTCACCCCGTCAAGCTTGGTGTGCTGTCTGTTCCACTTTCTTGCGCATTTCAGCCGATTCCAGCTGTTCTAGGGTAAGAAGGGAAAGGCCAAGCTGGTCCTCCTGTTGCAAAAAAAGAAAAAAAAAAGAAAGACAATGAAGAAGGCAAAAGTGACCACATATATCATGTCCCAAAGTGACCACTGGACCACTGGAGAGTCCAGTAATTTTTTAATTTAAAGGGAATATACATCATTTGCTTTTGCTATAATTTTCAGAAATGGATGGAATTGGGGGGTTGGAAATATATAGCAAATATAGTTACACTGACTTTTTTGAGGTTTTGGGTTCGAAAATGCTATAAAAACCAAGAAAAACAATCATTTTCCTGTAGTCTGGTTCCCCGACTCCATATAAGAAGAAAAAGAGCAGTTTACATACATTGGGGAATTGTAAGGTCAGGGAACCAATTTAGCTGGCTTGTACCCGTTCATAGGTGTGTAATCGATTGCAAACAAGTGCGATGGTCAATTGGGGCCAGTATTTGAAAAACAGCCAGTTTTTTTCCAACGCTGGTCAGCCGACCAGCGTTGGAAATTGATACAAAAATACCACTTTTCTTGAAAATGACAGTATACCAGGTGCCATGATTTTACAGGATGCTTTACACTGTCATTCACTGACAGTCCAGCAAGGTATTTCAAAATGATTTGGTAGTTTTATTTTTTTGATGTTTGCAAATGTTGTATTTTCCCTTTAAGTCATATTTTTCTCATTACTCATTACAACTAAAGGAGGCTTTTTAAACAGGATGAAACCCTTTTGGGCTTTAAATCACATTTCCAATTAAACGATGACAGTTTGAAAGATCGTTAAAAAGCAGAATATAACTCTAACAAAATTAAGCGTATCATACTCCGTACCCTCCTGAATGGCTGGGCCATATGTCGCAGGAATCTCTTGCTCAGCTGGATAGCTTCGTCAGTGGATAGGTTCAGCACGCTGTCCTTCAGATGTTCCTGGATCCATTTGGGCAGCTTACCCCTTTTGTCAGCTCTGGAAAACCGCTGTTGAAATTACAGGGGGAAAACACAATAATAATAATCAAAGCAGGCATGTACAATGTATATAGCGCTTTTACGCTGCAACGGGGTATCAAAGCGCTTTACAATTATCATTTTCCCTGTTTCAACGGGCAAACACTCCTAAAACCTTCTCAACTCCCTAGGAAGCAAACACGGCCGGTAGGCATTTATTTCGACGCTCTTGGCCATAGTCAACCTCTTACAGTCACCAACACTGCCCTCACAGGTACTCATTACTCCAGGGCGGGGAGAAGCATTAAGTGACAAAGCGCCTTGCCCAAGGGCACACGCACCATAATTCCAGGCTGGACTCGAACCCACAACCTGCAGAATTACCCGCAGACCACAAATTCAATGCTCCAGACCACTAGGCCACGCCACTCCACATAAATGTTATGGCACTGCAGAAAACTGTGTCGACTAGTGTGTCGACTAGTGCGGAAACTTTTGCTTAAACTAAGCACTTTTTCAAGGCGAAAATTTGCATAGGACTTCACACACATGAAGATGTCTATTGTTACTTCTCACATTTTAAGCATTTTTTTCCCCTCTGAAATAGATAGGGCTCTGTTAACAGAAAGTGGTATGTTAACTGGACCCAGTTCTTTGATACAAAGTCACGATGTGGATTATGTGCACAATATTTCTCTAAAAGGTGAAAAGAGAAAGAAAGATTATTATGGACACTTTAGGTCTAAATAGGGCGCTATTTCCCTGTAATAAGAAATGCGGCTTGCAGGGACAACGTGAATTGAATGGGGAGCAAGGGTTAAATAAATCTAAGTCCAAAGTAGGTGCCAGGAAGTGGATACGGGGATACGGGGTGGACTTTATTTTTAGCGGAGGAAAACATTTTTGAGAACGAAGCATCCATATCCATGTTGGCAAATAACAAAGGCAGAGGCAACGTGAGTTGAATGGGGAGCAGGGGAAAAATGTCCAAGTCCAAAGTAGGTGCCGGGAAGTGGATACGCGGATACGGGGATACGGGGTGGACTTTAGCGGACGTGCACACGTGTGGTTTTGGTTGAGCATCCAAGCGTGACTCCGTATCCGCGTATCCGGATACGAGGTGGGATAGGTGAGTGGCGGGGTATTCTGCAATTGTGCCCCACTGTAGCTACCAACGTAACAATTTTAGAGTTTTGCATGATAGGGGGTTTTTGCTGGGATTTAAATCTCGCTGATGTAGATGGAGTAGATAACTATACAAGTTGTGGTTGGGCCTGCCCTGATGGACTGACTCACGTGATTTAAAAGCCATATTTTGTTTTGATGGGGGGGGGGGGGCAGCAAATGAGTTCATTTAAAAGTTTCTTTCTATGTGTAGTGTAACACTAACAGTAATCACTTTAAAAAAAAATCCAATTGCTTTGTGCTCATGCATGTCGTCAAATAAAAGAAACATTTATTAAAATGATTAGAAATTTAATGAAAATATCAGCATTAATGGTTGGCAACTTACCTTATCTGCAAAAATCATGATGCCATAATCTGTTTTGCTCCTAATGGCACGCCCAACACACTGTTAAAAAGAAATTAGCATGTCCACATTAAACGGAAGATACAACATTTGCAAACATCAAAAACAAAATGATCAAATAACAACAAAATTCTTTACTGGACTGTTAGGGAATGACAGTCTAAAGCATCCCGTTCAATCATGTTTCCTGGTGTGCTGACGTTTTTAAGTAAAGTGGTATTTTCATATCAATTTCAATGAGAAACTGGCTTTTTATTTTCAAAAACTGCTCCTCATTTTTCATATTTAGTTATTCCACATTTTCGTTGCAATTGATTACACACCTGTGAAGGGGTACAAGTCAGCTAGAATGATTCTCTGACCTTATAATTCCCCAATGTCTCTAAACTGCTTTGTTTCATCTTAAATTGGGTCATGGAACCAGACTACAAGAACATAATTGCTTTTCTTGGTTTTTTCCAGCATCTACGAACCCAAAACGTGAAACAAGTCTGTGTAACAATATTTGCTTTAAAGGGAATATACAACATTTGCAAACATCGAAAAATAAAACTACCAAGTTTTTACAAAATACCTTACTAGGATGTTGGTTAATGACAGTCTCAAGCATCTTGTAAAATTATGGTCATTTTCAAGAAAATGGTATTTTTGTATACATTTCCAACGGTGGTCGGCCGATCAGCGTTGGAAAAACCTAACTATTTTTCAACTACTGCTCCAAATTGACAATTTTTTCAGTCCAAATTTTGTTTGCTATTGGTTACATGTTCATGAACGGGTGCAGGCCAGCTAAACTGGTTCCATTGCCTTACAATTGTCCATCATCTATAAATTGATCCATTTTATCTTTTGTGGAGTCAGGGAACCAGACTACTTGAACATTTTTGTTTTTCTTGGTTTTTCCAACCTTTTCGAACACAAAACTTCAAAAATGTCAGTGTAACAATATTTGATCTATTATACTAACCCCTCAATAGTTCATTTCTGAAAATTACTGCAAAAGCCAATGATGTACATTCCCTTTAACATACTCTTCCTCCAAATCCATTTATTTCTGAAAATTACAGCAAAAGCAAATTTTGTACATTCCCTTAAGTTGATTATAATTTTTCCCTGAAATTTGTCAGTTCCATATTAACAAATTTGATCTGTTAACCGTATCCCGTGTCAGTGAACTGAGAATATCCGGTGTTGCATCAGTATTCATAAACTCTCAAACAATGACAGCCTGTGGCACACTACCTTTTGCCACCTGGCAAGAATTGCATGAAAACGTACAACTGAATAAATTTCATCGATCTATATCTGAATGACCTTTTTTTTTTTTAAGAGAGAGTGGTTTATTATATCAATTTTTTTTATAAAACTAATATTTGTATTTTCCTCAATAAATAATTTCATATTTTACTGGATAGCCCTCAATGATTATTTTTGTTGTGTCTTCTTTATCCTTTTTTCAGTTACATGGTAATAATTTTGATCCGATAAAAGGATATTGATCTGACAACATCCTGTGTTGGGTCAGTATTCATAATAGCCTGTGGTGCAAGGAATCTACTTTTTGCCAACTGGCAAGAATTCTATAAATATGTGAAACTGTATAACTTTCATTGACAGATATCTCAACATTTTTTTTAAGAAGTTTATTTTTTGTAAGCTGATACTCATATTTCCCTCAATAAACAATATTCATATTCTACTGGACAGCCCTTAGTGACTCGTTTCCATCAAGTAGAAAGTGTTCTTTACTTTGAAAATGTAAGCACTGGTTCTTGGAGTTTCTTTCAGTTACATTGTAACAATTTTGATCCCATACAAGGATAAATTGATCTGACAACATCTTGTGTTGCGTCAGTATGTACATAAAACTCTAATACAATACATGTATAGGTTCAGTCTATTCTGCTACCATTGGTTTCACGCACACACACACTGCATGGCGATCATCATGCAATCAATCAGAGATCCAAACTAATCTCTAAATGCCGTCACAGTGACAATAATAGAAAACCACCGGACCGCAGCAAGAAAAAGTAACCACCCAGCCGTGCAAGCGAAGAAGTCCATTCGCCTGATGATCGCCACGCAGTGTGCGTGTGCCTGAAACCAATGGTAGCAGAAAAGACTGAACCTATATGTTATTATAGTTTCAGCATAGAGCACTATAGCTGAAACTGATATAAACCAAGTGTTATAAAACTCTAGTACATGTATATGACCTTTCCAAATACAGCATGTGGCACACCAGATTTACTTTCTACCACCTGGTATGGGCCACCTGGCAGGAATTGCATAAACACATGAAGCTGCATAATTTTCATTGACCAATATATCTGAATTATTGTTTTTTTCCTCTAAAAACATTTAAAAACACAATCTTTAATTTGAGGACAATATGTGACCTGTCATCACAACATTAGCATACAGTCAAGCTTTGTAAGAACTGAGATGTTTTATATCTGGATTCTGCAAAATAAGAGCTTTCCAATATTTAACATTTAGGGGCACTGACTTCAGTATTAAACAGAAACCTAGACCGCCAACTAATTTGAAGTTTTAAAACTAAACTTTGAGTAAACGGCATTTAAAAATCCAGCTGTTGTGTTAAAGTAAATGTACAGTAAACTAATAAAATTGGATGAATATAGGTTTGAAAGATGTTTGATAGAAAAAAAATGGAAAAAAGGTAGAACAGGACTTACAGATTGAGGTTGACTTGAAAAAAAAAGAAAAATCAACAAACCCTTTGAATTTTGGCTTTGCCCCGCTGTACTTAAAAAAAAAGAAACCCAAATGGCAGGACCAATTATTTATTGAAGTTCTGCTTGTAGCACTTTCAAAATCTAGGATATGAAAGCCCAGCCATTAAGCTTTCTGTTAGTACAAGAACCATTCAAATCACTCATGTACTTTTCAGGAATTTTGAACACAAACACCATTTTAAACTTCTGTCCACGGATCACAAGAAAAGGTAAGTGTTCTTTCAGCAAAATAAAAACAATTCTCATAGGGATGCATGTGAATTGTCTTCGCTTTGCTGAAAGAACACGTACCTTTTTTGTGATCCGTGGACAGAAGTTGAAAATGGAGTTTGTGTTCAAAATTCTGTAACTTGAAAAGTACGTAGGTGATTTGAACGATTCTTGTACTAAAAGAAACCTTATGAATCGGGCTTTCATATCCTAGATTTTGAAAGTGCTACATGCAGAACTTCACTAAAACAATGGTCCCAACATTTGGGTTTCATTTTTTTTTGACTAACCCAGTATAGGTTTGAAAGATATTTGATAGAACAAAAACACTTGGAAAAAGGTAGACCAGATCTTACAGATTAAGGTTCCCTTAAAAACAAATCAAAGAATCGTTTAACCTTTTGAATTTTGGCTTTGTCCCGCTGTTTTGCAAAATGGCAATTTCCGACTTATTTCACGGTCACTGGTCACATATGTTACACAGACATCCTGTTCTGGGAAAAATTTCCATTGCACATTTCTATGACCCACCTGTGCAGCGTGTTTCATGGCATCAAAGGTCAGGAAATCGTTCTCGCGGATCTGAAACTGATCTCGTAGATACTCCAGTCGGGCTTTCAGAATTCGGGACTGGGTGTACACGTAGGGAATACCAAACATGACCACTGCTCGGCCATAGTGGTGATCTGTAACGGCAAAACAAATACAGGACAGAAAAGAAATTCTAGTACACTGATGTAGGTTTTTAAGTAAAAGGTGTACAATGTAGCTGCCTCAGAAAAGTTGGATCCACTTTTCACCAGTGAGCACTGTTTTGTCTTTGTTTAATTCCAATGTAGGATTTTAGTTATATAAAACAACAGCAAAACGAGATTCCCTTACAATGGCAACTGGGATATTAAACACCTTGTCTTCAAGCAAACTTGAATCTTCAATATTGATGGGCAACAACATTGTGGTATTGTTCTCAGAGCCTGTGCAAAAATACATGACACAGTGAGTAATCCCATATTTGAAAACACAAAAAATGTAGTGCTTCGTTTTGGCAAATGTGATGACGATGCACTACGTTATTCCAGTTACGTGTATACAGTGCTTATAAAATAACATCGGTGATAGGCAAAAACCTAATATTACAATTTGCACATGTAGATTAAAAAAAATGGCAATGTCTTTTCTCCACAGAACTGTATTTAATTACTAGAGCGCTGACTCGATGTACAAAGTGATGCCTGCTGGGCGCATCCATGTTTGTGCACAAACTCGAAATGTTGTACGGCTTGTGTACGGCTATTTGCATATCTGCGTTTGATTCTATACAGGTGCGTTATCGAAGCCGATACGCCCAAAACTGAAACGCACAATCAGTCAATGAGCTCTGCGCAAACCACGCAAATGCGTGCGCATATCCGCTGCAGCTGATTTTTTTTACTTGAGAGGTTTTTTAACCGTCATAACGGGCTTAAAGTTGTTTGCGTATGTTGTACAAGTGCGTTGCATTAAGAGTACACTTTAAAAATTCACTCAATCTAATTTCATTATGTTCTGCAAACATGCACATGAATTCAAAATGTCTGCACACAGGAAGGATTCAAAGTATCTCAGCGTGTAAGAATGAGGAGTTAGCTCTCTAGTAATTTGATATAGCTGTATGGTTTTCTCTTAACTGTATGAGAGCAAAGGAATGTCCATGAAATGTATGGAAAACAAGGCTGTGAGGTGATGTACATGCACACAATGACTATCAATGTTGACAATTGATAGCTAACGCTGCTATCCCTATCACACAGATGCTAAAAATGCATCTGCTGTAAGAATTTGATATGTAAACAATCTTCCCTTGACTATCCCTTAACAAGGGAAACATTGTTTAGATATCAACTTGTGAAAGCAGCTGCATTTGTAGGGAGTGTGCAATAGGGATGGCAACTGGCTTTGGGTGAACTTGAATGTGCTTCTAATCAAAGATTCAAAGATTTAAAATTTGTATTCGTCATGTAAAAAAATTACATGAGATACATGTATGCTCCCCTAGGTGCAATCAGTAAAAAGTACATACAGTATTCATAAACAAAAATAAAAATATTTTAGTCAATAAAACATAAGAAACCTAAAAATTTAAATTAAATGAAAAACACACAACATGTTAGAATAAACAAATTAGAAAATGCACACATGAACCAATTAAATTGACAATAACCACTTAATTATGGAATGATTAAGAAACTTCACATTACTGAGGAAATATACAACCCCGCCCCCCTTCCCAAATTCATCACGATTGTAAAACTGTCATGCCTTTCATTGAAAAGAGGGATTGCACTAGGTAAGAACGAGAACCTATGACGGTATGTTTGTTTTTAGTGATGGCATAATTCTACCCGATCTGCTGGAAATGACCTGGGAGCTCAACGGACGGGTCGTATCAGCACAGATCAACTCAAGTTTAGCCAGCAAAGCTTTCTCGTAAATATAATTAACTTCATCGACATTGAGGAAAAATCTCCGTACTGGGCCACCACTTTTTAAAATTAATTTTCAAGCGCCAAAAAGTTGTAGCCTTTATGGTTATTCCCTCCGAACCCCGGACTCTTGCTTGATACATGAGACTTTTAACCGCTAGGCCGCGCACGATCGCTGTTGCAATAATCAATCTATGGACGTATTTAAAGTATCCATTGAAATAAACTAAATATTCATAAGAAAATAAATATTCATAATGACGTATTGTACTATCATTGGTCGGCTCATGCGACGTCATGGTTGTCGATGTCATGCGTATTACGTACCGCTGTCTTTCAGCCAGTTTTGACCGGCTGCTTCAACTTAGTTCTGCACGACGTGTGCATCCAAAATGTGCTCTAAAAACACATTTTGCCTAATTTTTTTTCGCATTTACACAGCTTCCTGGATTCCTCTTGGGTGAAATCACAAGGTGAGGTGAAAATTGATGTGTTTAGCGGCAGGTAAAGTTGTAACCCAGTATGGACATTTTCCCGACATTGAGGCCAATTATTTTACTTGCAATTCTAGTAATTCTTCCGATTTTTGTTAGTCAGACAACTCAAAATCATCCCAAGGGGGAGTCAGGTTGGCGTTGCAGTACTTTCCTCGCCTTCCACCGCTGTGACCCGGGTTCGAATCCCGCCTGGGCCAATATGCGGATTTGGTTTTCAGTCCCTGCCTGATTCCGTGGGTTTTTCCCAGAATATTCTTCTGGGCTTTTCCTCCCACCTCTAAAACTGTAATTTCTTCTCACTGTCTTCTCTCTACATGTTTTGTCAGGCTTTCGGGCTACAGTGCCTAGGGCACTTTTGATGAATCATTGGTTTCATAACCAGAAAGAAAGAAAATAAGAAATAAATAAAATAAATCCCCCAAAATTGATGTAAATGGAACAGGAAATCCCCTTACCGAAATCAATTCCTTCAGACACCTTGCCTCTTGCCACAGACAGTAGGACAGCTCCTCGACCATTCTCACAGGCCTACAAAAAAAAAGATGTAGTCTTATAAACCCAACCAACTTCAAGCAGTAGCAATAAAAAACAAACTGTACTGGAATCGAGTTTAGAACAATGGGTTTTGGCTTTTATGAATATTTATTTTTTTATTTTGTGGGATCCAGACACAAGTATGCCTGGCCTGGCTGACCTTGTAATAATTCTGAAGAGCCACACTGGTCTCTGCTCCGTCCTGCGTTTCTATAAACAGCAGCTTGTTCTTCTGGATGCTGTCAATAATGCCTTGCTCATACCAGCTCGCTACAATGTTCTCCTACAGGGATTGAATGAAAAAAAGAAGAAGTAATTTTGTGACAAGTTAACAAACCATGTAAAAGTCATGCCTGAAGGTCAGCAGTTAAAGAAAGAAAGGCAAACTAACTCGCTGCATATACATGTACATGAACGTAGGTCACTTTATTTTTTTGATTTTGATTTTTCAACAGTCAAATGTGAATACATGTACCGTAGATATAATGTCCTTTTTTTTCACTATATGACTTCTTCACTTCTTTCTCCGTTCTGTCTAGTTTGTGGTCCACACCTTCAAGTGGCCTTGGCCGTTTTTTTTTGTTACAACCACCCCAACTTGACCCCAACCATTCACAAACACAGACAAGACAGACTACATACTGTTGCCAAAGCCAAAGTTTCACTGCTAATGCTAGGTTCACAAATTCCCGATTTCTAAGCCGAATCACCATGAATAGCAATTCTTGAGTAACTCGGGGATGGTTCTTGGCTGCCTCAAGATGATTCTGTTTGTTCGGTGAAAGATCGTTAAAGATCGGGAAGCGCCTGACAAATTTGAACATGTTCAAAATTGTCAGGGCGCAAATTTGTCAGGGCGATGCGGGAACCAATTTCAATTCTTGGTTTATTGAGTGGTCGGGCACAACCCGACCACTGATTGGGGTTGTTACGATTAATCTTCTTTCTTTCTTTCTTTTTTTTCGGACAATAAGTTTCCGCGGCTTTTCTCTTAAACGGTATATGGTATGAACTTGTAACTTTCAACATATATCGACCCTCGTCCCAAGTGGTGCATATTACTCTGACGTCATGATGACGTCATTGGGTGTCAAATTATAAGCGATTTTAGACGAAAAAGTGGGCAAATACTTTCACCTATAACTCTTAAACAAAGTGATCAATTACATTTCAACTTTGCAATCAGATAGACCATTAGATGATAAACATTTTTTGTCGTGTACGTGAACTCGCTTGACCTTTACTTCCGAGTCTACCGGCAGGTCAAAGTTACGTGAACTCAAAATGAAGACTTAAGCCTGAAATTAAAACAAAGCAAAATTTCTTCCGAACGGTTTACGGGATGATCATAAAACCTAGTGTGAATGTGTACCATGTTACGAAGATGTTATGAATTTGGTTACGTCATCATGACGTAATGTAAGGGCAAAGTGATGTAAGGGCAAATTTTGACAAAATAGTTTGAGCTATATCTTTTGAACTCAATAGAGTATCGTGTTCGTTTTTTTCTTGAGGTTGTAGACTATGCCTTGAGTAACATTTCTTGTTCCCGGACACGAAACCGCTTGACCTTTACTTCCGGTGTTACCGGAAGTGCAATAAAAACTGAATATAACTAGAAAGCGGAAGCATTTTACTATATTTTACTACGTTTTACAATATTTGTTGGAACAAATAAGAAAGCGACTGCTTACAATAATAGTACTGCTACCACATAATTTCATCATATTTGTTCACCAGGGACTGCAAAATCACAGCTCTTATAAGAATAAACCCAGGGGAGGATTCAGGAATTTGTACAAAATCACACAAAGCATTCAAAACTAATATTCTAGTCTTTTTCTGATTTCTTTCGGCGTAACTCGCATATCAACACTGATTCTTTAATTCGTACCTTTATGCAGAAATTTAATATTTCGACAGTGTAGCCACAAACTTTTTTTTTCGTTATCTCAGTACAGAATTTTAGGAAGCCCATGCATGCAAAAGACATAAGCCATTTTATTTTAGATATTGAGATAATCAAATGGTGCATATATTAAGCTCCAAACACGTCATAGAGGCTCCCTCAAGTCTACCGATTCCGATTCTGACCATGAATTCAATTCTAATATTCTCGTCCATTTTCTGATATTTTTCGCCATAACCAATTGAAATCGCACCTTGCCAGTTTTTCTCTCATATCTGAATGCTGAAAATTAATATTTCTACAGCGTGTAGCCACAAACTTTTCTGTCGTAACTTCAGTGCAGAATTTCATTATGCCCATGCAAAAGAAAAAAAACCCATAAAAGCCATTTTATGATGAAATTAGCATATGTTGCATAAACTCCAACGACGTTAGAGGCTCCGTCAAGTCTACCGTTGTCATAAACTCAGTGCAGAATTTTATTATACCCATGCAAAAGACCAAGAAAAAACCCAAAATAAAAGCAATTTTATCTTAAAATTAGCATAATTATGTTTCATAAACTTTAACGACGTGAGACGCTCTGTCAATTCTACCAATGTTGTAACTTTAGTGCAGAATTTTATTATGCCCATGCAAAAGACAAAAAACAAAACAAAACAAAAAAAGCCATTTTATTATAAGTCTAGCATAATTCTGTTGCATAAACTCCAACGACGTTAGAGGCTTCGTTAACTCTACCAATAGTCCCAACTGGTTCTATGCTTGAGTAGCCATCCATGCAGCACCAGATGTGCGCTTCCTGATAGGCCTACAAGTCTTGTCAAAGTAGCAACAAGTTCAACTGCAGGTTGTGTGATTTTCTTTGTGAAAAACACAGGGTAATGGATGCAGGGTAAAGGGAGGGGTAATGTGCAGTTCAATTATGATTAAGTCACTGTAAACACAAGAAAATATGCCAGCCCGACCACTCTGCGTTTGTAACTCAACAAACGCGAACCTCTCGTTCTTCTTGTATTCATAACCAATTCGGGAATGTGTGAACCTAGCATTACTAACTGATTTAACTGATCTTTTTTACGCACAAATAGACTTCATTAACTAGTCGGCCATAATAAATTGAAAGTGAGGTAAATTCTTCATTTTTGGAACTTGCGAGTGAAAATGCACAAAATGAAAAAGTTCATTAAAAATTTATGACAGTCTGCTCTGTTGAATAATTTTAAATTTGTGATTAAACATACCCTAATTTTGTAAGCCATAACTTGAAAGTGAGGCTTGGAACGCACTCCAATCATCATAAAATAGTCTGGCCACTCCCATTCAACAGTTTACAATTTATACAATAGATTCAGGGAATATGATCAAAAATGGCTTCCTAATGAATAAGGTCTATAGTGTTAAAACGGGGAAAACCTAACTAAGCTCCATTCTCACCATGTACATATAGCTTGTGAAGAAGCACACCATTCCATCAGGTACTATCTTGCATAATTCCACCAGCAGGTTGCCATAGTTACGAATCACAGCTGTGAAAATTGAATGTATGATTATTTCGTTTTATTGTAAACATAAAAATAATTGATACCTACAGTGCACAATAGTCTTTGTCGTAGACCCTGTTTTCAATTCCAATGTAGTTGATTAACCCTAACCCCCTTGAGTGATTTACTAGGAACCTTCCTCACTCCTGCAAATTCCAACACCAAACTCTACACCCAAACTGTTGGACTCTGATTATGGTGGTATGCCTAACCCCATGTAAAGCATAATCAGTTTACTAGTGCAGTACTCACTCCCAACAGATTCCAACAAACCCTGGTGTTGGAGTTTGACTGGATGGGGATTGTTACTGTTAAAAAAAGGTTGACTGAAGTAATTTAAATGCTCACCAATATCTTCCCTGGTCTCAAATTTGGAGGAAATGGTCACTTGATCATTGCCTTTAGTCACAATCTGTGCGAGGGAAAGAAATATAAAGAACACTTTAATTCAAACTCTTCGGTGTTGATCTTTATTACCATCGTATCAATAATTTTGTGAAATGTACTTGAATGTATAGACTGTACAGTGTCATTACACTTTAAGCTGGATATCAATATTAAAACAAAGATCATCTACACTTGATGAAATTTCATTCATGTGCATGACAGGAGTTGCATTCTTAAGTGTGACTTAAATCCTGACAATCCCTTGTAAAAATTATCTTTATAGTGCACCTATATTGCTGTGTTTCACAGAATCTTTAAACTCACTGGATTCAACAAGAGGCACTTGTTCACACACTACAGGGTGAGTAAAAAAAAAAACGAAACCCAAATGTCGGGACCATTGCTTAAGTGAAGTACTGCATGTAGCACTTTCAAAATCTAGGATATGAAAGTCCAATTCATTACCATTTTTTAGTACAGAAATCATTTAGATTACTAATGTACTTTGCAAGTTACGGAATTTTAAACACAACCACCATTTTAAAGTTCTGTCCACGGATCACAAAAAAAGGTATGCGTTCTTACAGCAAAACAAAAACAATTCACACACATCCCTAACTGATTTGTTTTCGTTTTGCTGAAAGAACACTTACCTTCTTGTGATCCGTTGACAGAACTTTAAAATGGTGGATATATTTAAAATTCCGTAACTTGAAAAGTACATAGGCGATTTGAAAGATTCTTGTACTAAAAGAAAGCTGATGAATTTGGCTTTCCTATCCTAGATTTTGGAAGGAAGTGCTACATGTAGAACTTCACTAAAACAATGGTCCCGACATTTGGGCTTTTTTTTTTTTTTACTCACCCTACATTGGATAATCTTGCATTGAGGAACACGATTTGGGCTGTATGCCAATTAGACTACTAGACAATTGTTGACTGCTGTGATGTGGGATAAGCCGTTTTTAACACCTGAAGGGCGCAATAGCACCGAGGCGAGGCTGAGAGTGCTATGGCCTGCTGAAAAGATCTCATTTTCGTATAAGGTTTTGTTTCTGAGGCAGATAGGTCTTTGAACTCACAATTAAGTTTTACTCACCATTGGGCAAATGCAATTTCTGGCAAGAGTCATCGTAAAAGATGCCATGGTAACGGGTCTGAAGTCCAGGATCTTGGGATACATTTCCAGTGGGGATAGGGTCTGTAAAGCAATGGGAAAAAAGTAACAGCAACTGTACTACGTATTATACGTACAGTGTATTATTATTTAAAGCATTTGAAGTATTGTTGAGATTTTGTAAGCTTTGATTTACATAAAATTTCAAGGTCTTTTCCCTACTGACAATTGATTTCACAACATAATTTCAAGGAAACATGATCAAGACACCAAGCATACTTTATTGTGGCTTTTCTGACAAGTGTGCCCAACTCTTGACACAACTTCTGTGCTGTAGATTGTTATTCTTCGTAATTGCAAACACCTACCCCTGATGTTATGACGACAGACTGGAATCGGTCAAACACTGGCTTGATGGCAATGGAGGCATCCATGCAACTGTAGGTAAAACAAATAATTACACGTATAATGCCATACAACTAAATACAAATTTTTGACATTAGGTTTTTGCCCTTCACCGACGTATAAACACTGTATACTCAGTGTGTTACCTCCCGAGTGAAAGTTGGAACAAAATCACTCGGGTGGGACTCGAACCCACGACCTCCTGCTTTTTAGTGCAGATGTTTTACCACTCGACCACCGAGCTTGTGGGATCGGTTGGCTGGTTCGAATCTGATGTAGCAGCAGGTACCACAATGAAACTATTCATAAGATGAATTTGCGTCGGGGTGATGTAAATCAATATTAGGTTTTTGAGAAAAAAATAAAAAAAGCTGTATCTAGTGAGCCCCCTTTGCTATTGCCCAGGTTTGCAGCTTGTTACTTTGGGTGTGATCCCTGGCTGCATGGCGTGTATGGGTTTATGGCTTCTGACTAGCACCCCTTGAACAAAGACAATGACAAAATGGGGAACCGCCAACATGGCAGAGCACCGGAACAGTTGGTAGAGCACTGGAACAGCAATTCCGGGGTCGCAAATTCAAACCCCTCTTCAAGTCAATATTTTTTTTTCAACTTTCAAATTATTATAATGCACTTAGTCAGTTTCCCTTCGTATTTTTTTTTTTTTAATCCTAAAATTTTGTTCTTCCTGTTTGAAGTGAAAAAAAGAAAGAAAAAAAGAAAAAAAAAACATTTCGGTCCTGCCCATCCAAACCGGTTAAATGCATATTCCTAGATTTGCAAAAAGCATCCAAACTAAAGTTCTTCACTTCTTTTATGTTACAGTGCATGTCCTAAATTAGTTGATTTTATAATTAGTCAATTCACATAGTTTACCAGCAAACATCTCAACCATGGCAAGTCTTAATTCATAATTAATGATGTTCTGTTTTGGCAACCAGGAATACAGTATGTGAAGTACCTGAAATGCAGCACAGGGTTCGGAATGGTAGGCGTCTTATCATCAAATGGCTCAATGATCAGGCTGAATCCTGCAGTAAATACATATCAGAGAAAAATTGTACCAAACATTTGCAATTCCAGGTGATAATAAAATCATTCAATAGAGAACAATGAATAACCATTGTTTGACTAATTCTGATCAAATGCGTTCAATGTAATGACAGTTGGACTAGTACGGACCTCTTCACTAATTGGACAGGCAGCTACACACTGATTACCATTGCGTCTTGAAGCACCTTATCCAACATCTTGGTTCCCCAAAACGTCACGCCAGGAACTACCATTCTGCATTTGTGATTTTTCACTTGAAACAATAATTCCCCAAGGACTCTTTGAGAGAAAAAATATCCAATACCAACTACTAAACAAATCTTGCATTTACTGTACATGCGTCATGGGCGACCAAAGATGGCAGACAGCGGCTTCAATGTATGGGCATTGAAGTATGGAGGCCAAGGTCAGTGTGGATTAGTCTACTTGATAATTTAGAACCAGCCTACTGAGAGATCAGTAACATGCAAATATAACATGGTTTGAGGTACATAGTCGATATTAGCTCCCCCAGGTATTGGAAGTTGACAAACTAGTTCACGAGGCGAACAACCAATACCGAGGGGAGCTAATATCTACTATCCACTCGAAATAAACCATGTTATATTTGTTTTACTATACCTCATGCATATTCAGTTGCCATTACAATTTGCGGCATAAAATCTTTAGAGAAACTTGTCCAGCTCATCAGAAGCATATTGCTCAACCTCAGAAAAGTTCAGTTCTTTTGCAATACAGTAACTCCTACGAGTTTCTACCGCATAGTGGACAACTTTTTTTTGTAGAGGAGGCATTCGTGTGTGTGTACTATGCCCGCGTGATAATTCCATGATTGCTTTGTAAAGCGCGTGCTCAGTGGACTATGCATGGGTAACCCGTGCGATAGTTTACTACGCATGCGTATTAACTCTGTGCGTGAATACTCCCAGCTGGCACGGGATGATTTCTTGGAGTGAGTAGCAGCAGTAGTGTGCATTCCGATGCAGTAAAAATGAGGCAATCTTTTTTAAATGTATATTGAAGTATTTTGTAGTTAAATGAAGGTTGAAATTTGAAAACAAAGTGTCATGCCTAATTACTGCCAAGCAACAATGGAAAGACTTGGCAATCTTAGTTCAAGAGTACCCAAGACTGAAAAAAATGTCATAGCTATAGAGAATAATTTGAAAGAGCACACAATTGTCTCACCTTTGGTATACGTGCTGACTAGAGTTGCAAAGTTGGCTACCAAGGTCAAAGGTGCCATCTCCTGGATTTCCGTCAGCTCTAACGTGCGCAGGAGAGAGTGTAACCTTTCAGCACAAAACCTACAGCCAAATAACAATACCAAGCATTGTTCATTGTTCATTTATTTCCAATATATTCACATATTTTAATTATAGTAATCAATACAAAAGAGGTACTTTATAGACAGATGGTGAAACTGTAGAGGAACCTACTAAGAAGCTAAGCTTGTAATCGTAGGCCCCTTATACAAATTTGAAGTTGCTTTTAATACATAAAACACAGGACAAGCAATAGACAAGGACAATACATGAACTTTACGGGCCAGTTAACAAGCAGGATAAGATTTGTAGCATGAGCAATCTCGAAGTTAATGGGTTACACGAGATCATAATAATTATACAACAGGGTCGATTTATATTTCCGTTTGAAAGTAGACAAATACTTAGATGTTTTCAGGTTCTCGGTAAATGAGTTCCACAGCCTGGGTCCCTCATGCCTAGCAAAGTTGGTCCCACAGTGCAAACACTAGTGGAAGTCTTTTCATGCATCTGGTCTATACAGTGGGCCAGATTTTGATCATCCATTGATATTATGGTGTAATCCTACAGGACTGCCCAGCTCACAAGTGACTGACAGTCAGTCAGGGAGTTGGTGAGTCAGTCAGAGTCAAGTCAGATATTTCAAAAGAGAACTCAAAGTAAAAGTTTTCCACTGTTTGCAACTCTATGAAACTTTTACAACTATCTTGTTATTCAAAATTTGTTTTGGAGGTTTTTTTTCTCAGATAGCAAAAATGGGAAGCTCAAAGATTTGGACTTGGTATTTAAAACACTTCGACTTTTGGCTTAAGTTTATTCATAGTATATCAATCTGCATCTGTATCTCTCTATATCTGCATAGCTACGTTGCAGAAACCTATTCAGGCATTAACGCAACGGAGTATAGGTACTCAAGGTGCTGGGAGTTATGTCTATTATTAGAGACAAGTGACTGAAGTACGTAAGAGATATGAGACCCATTATGTGTTGCACCTTCATAAGAGTTTACAAGGTGCTGCGGCGCATTAAGCTTAGTGTTACTGGGTTCTTTAATGTGCATTATACAACACACAGGACATACGGCTTTACGTCCCATCCGAAGGACGGAACAGTACAAGCACCATGTTCCCACGGTCAGGATTCGAATTGTGTACTACGGCACACGAGTCGAACACCATAACCATTGGACCACAGCGCCCCACCTATAGAGATATTCATGACATAATTGCAGTATTTCTGCATACACTGTAACAATTACCAATATGGACTCTGTGCACAAATACCCCCTCAGCGCAAAGCAATAGTTGGGGGAGACCACTGGGAGGGATGTTCTATTGCATTACACATGTACCTTCGATGCCAGACTCTCATGCGAAGATGCAACTAGTTTGAGTTTGTGCACTCTCATTCACACCGAACCATGTGCAAGCTTAAGTGTCTCTTCCATTGAAGCTTTCGAAAGTGGTGAAACCGCGCCATCTACTGATCGTGCATGGAGTCCATAATTATAACACCCCTGGGGTTAACCATTAGTAAACAAATATAACATGGTTTGAGGGTGGATAGTCGATAGCTCCCCGAGGTATTGGAAGCTGACAAACTAGTTCCAGAGGTGAAGCCGACGGAACTAGTTTGTCAACTTCAAATACAGAAGGGAGCTAATATCAACTATCCACCCAAAATAAACCCCGTCATGTTTGTTTCACTATACCTCATAGATATTCAGTTGTTTTTCTTGGGAGAAACTTTTCCAGCTCACCAGAAGAATAATGCTCAACCTCAGAAACGTTCAGTTCTTTTGCGATACAGTAACTCCTAAGAGATTCTACCACATTGTGTACAACTTTTTTAGTAGAGGATCGGAGGCATTTTGCTGTCCACAATTTTCTCCAGTTCAGCACCATTGAGCTCAAGAAAGCGCTGATTAACAAATTTTTTCATAAGGCCATGTTCGGGCGTGTATACTACACCCATGCGATAGTTCCATGATTGCTTCGTAAGGTGCATGCGCAGTGGACTATCTCACAGGTAACCCGTGTGAAAATGTACTATGCATGCGTATTTACCCTGTGCGGGAATACTCGTATGCGCGCTTGGTAAACAGCAAAAACAGCATCTGGCACGTGATGGTGAATGGATCAGTGAGTATTTGGCTCTCGATCATGAATATGTATGAGGTATAGTAATAATGAATTCTTCCTGACCAAATTTGATCCCAAACTGAAACTGACCTGAGTGGCTTTCTCTCGATGCAGACTTTGCCGTAGACATCTTTGAGGAAGGCCGGGGGACTCTCTGCGACCACATGCTGCACTCGTAACCTGGTCTTGAGATACTCCACAAATCGCCTCATGAAGGCGATGAAATGTTCCGCTTGACGGATATTCCCTGGAACAGCCTCTGGTGAAAATAAATAGCCAATACAATCACAATCATGACTGTTCATGTTTCAAACTATTATATCAGAAGGTTTTACTATGGTATCACATTTTGTACCAGTTACCAAGTATTTCCAGTTATAATGTGTATAATAATACACCAAAAGCCGTAGGCTGCCGTTGGTCATGTTACAAAGAACCATGTTAACCTCTAAAAAAATGTTTAAAGGGAAGATACAACATTTGCAAACATCAAAAAACGAAATGATCAAATTATCACGAAATTCATACTGGATTGTTAGGGAATGACAGTCTACAGCATCCTGTTAAATCGTGGCTCCTGGTGTGCTGAAATTTGCAAGAAAAATGGTATTTTTTCCGATGCTGGTTGGCCGACCAGCGTTGCAGAAAACTGGCTTATTTTCAAAAACTGCTCCTAATTTTTTCAAATTTAGTTATTCCGCATTTTCTTTGCAATTGATTACACACCTGTGAAGAGGTACAACCCTGCCATACTGATTCTCTGATCTTACAATTCCCCAAAGTCTACAAATTGCTCCGTTTCATCTTAAGTTGGGTCAGGGAACCAGACTACAAGAACATGATTGGTTTTCTTGGTTTTTCCAGCATCTACAAGCCCAAAATGTGAAGCTTGTCAGTTTAACAATATTTGCTATAACATTCTAAACCTCCAAATCCATTTATTTTTGAAAATTGCAGCAAAAGCAAATGTTGTACATTCCCATAAGCATGTTGCCTGGCTAGGCACATACATGTATATTCTGCACATGTTCAATTCTTGAGTCGCGTCCAACTCAAGTTTGAAGAAAATGTCACGCATTGTGAACCCCACATGACTTTGCTTTAGCCTACCAGTATAAAAAAGAAGAGGTATTATAAATCAGTCTAAATCGTGACTGACCTTCTAATACAGCATCAGGTAGCACTGGATTGGCCATCTGTGCGTCCATCTCCCTAGCCTGACTAGCATCTCTCAGTCCCTCTACCAGCCTCTGATACTCCTCCTGAAGTCTCTGGGCATCTGTTTCTTTGAGTCTATTCAATAAAAGGGTGATTAACCCATTACATTGGTACTTACATTGTAGTACCTGTACTACATTGTATTACATTGTGTTTATTCCATGATGTTTGTGTTTATTCCATGATGAATCCGTAAGTGAGAGTCAGTGAGAGGTACAAAGATGACCAGCAAACATTTCGCATGGGTAGGATGCAGAGTTGTAATGACTCGAGTTGATGACTTGACTCGAGGCCGACTCGACTCACTATTCTTGGTGACTCGATTCGACTCGAGTCCCTATGGCTAAATGACTCGACGCGACTCACTGCAATCAATTAATGAATCGATTTGACTGGAGTCCCTCATCAGAAGACGTGACTCGAGAAGGCTAATAAGACTTGAGTCCCAAAAATAAAAGCAAAACTTTGCGAAACGTATTTGCAATAACTTACAGTGCAAAAATTATGTTCACGTCAATTTGTGAATACGGTACGGTACAGTAGCCGCTTGTCATGTACAAACATTCAACGTGTCACAGACTGCCACCTCATGGTTCTAGAATGCACAAAATACTATGCAGGAACCGGAGTTTAAACACATTTTCCAATGTGTTGTTGCATTATTGACTTTGAGCGAATTCTTATAAATATATATCTATATATTCGAACGCCGGCTAAATTTATGCCCTCCTTTTATAAATGTTGGTATATAGTGTGCAAATATTCGTGACTCAAATTGACTCGAGCTAAATATTTGACTCGACTCAACTCAACCTTTTTGACCTAATGACTCAACTCGACTCGAGTCACTTCTTTAAAATGACTCAACTCGACTTGAGTCACACAAAATCAGTGACTTGTTACAACTCTGGTAGGATGTAGGCAATGACTTGACTCGACTGAGTCACTTCTTTAAAATGACTCGACTCGACTTGAGTCACTTCTTTAAAATGACTCGACCTGACTCAAGTCAAAAAAATCATTGCCTCGTTACAACTCTGGTTGGATGTAGGCAATCATGGATTCTGACCTTTCAATGTTTCTCTTGATGGCATCTAGGTTGTTCTGGCTTTTGTCCAAGGTTCGGCGTGTGATGTGCACGCTCAGGGAATCAATGCAGACATTATCTGTTGATACAAATTCATCAAATAGACGCACACGCAGAATCAGTGTTGAAGTTGAGGAACATGTACTTGTGATGACCAAAAGTCATCACATACATGTAGTCCATCACAAGTCAATTCCAAGCTTCACGTCCCAAGTCAACTCAAGCTGTCCAAAGTATGACCAAATTAAAGCATTCCTTTGTTATTGTTCATTTCCTGCTACCCTGCTACTTGTATATAAGTGAAATAGCAACAGTAATCAGCAATTTCGTTTGGATTTTGCCAGATTAAGGAAGATACAGCCCGACCACTATTACTTTACAGCCTAAGGCTCTTTGTATATCCTTTTTGAAGATTCTGGAATACCGGCAGTGGTGGGAGCGGAGCCAGTGATTCCAGCTGTGTACAACTTGAGGAGGAGACCAAGGGCAAATGCCTCTAATGAATGAATAAATCATGAGAAAGATTCCTGATGTTGTGAAATAATTACAGCTACTCAGCACTTTCTGACTGCAGGGGTACAAGTAAGGAATCAATGGAAAGCTGATTAAACACCCGTGGAGATACAACTACTCGGAAGGTCATAAATGAAACAAGCCGACAAATTAATTTTGTCTTCAAGTAAACTTGTATTCTCGATTCTGATTGATCGATCCATGGCAACAACAATGTGATATTATACTGTATTGTACATTCCATATCACACCCTGCGTACTGCGCTATTCCAAGATGTGAGCGACATTCCAGCTGCATGCCCTAAACTGCTGAAATATTTGTGTAAAGCGTGCTCGTTCCAACTGTACTGCGCGTCAAGTTTGCTTGAAGATAAATTCGTTATCACGCTTGCGCTCCTGGAACACGGAAAGTGTAGTGCGAGGGCAAATGTGGGACACAGATGCACTACATTATTCCGTGTTCCACTCACGCTCGCGGAATAACTTATATTGGATTAACCTTTTTTTCAAACTCTTACCAATGTTATGAGCTTCGTCAAACACTACCACTGATTTCTTGGAGAGTTCCTTTGAGACCATTTCTGCAATCTTTGGATCCAGCAGATAGTGGTAGCTGTACACTATGATGTTGGCGTGGTATATCTGTGAGAGATTCCAAAAAGACATTAGGGCTGTCGCGAATATTGGATCATCAACTGAATATTCAAATAGCTTTTTGCCGATTTGAATATTCAAAAACAAACACTACGGACACGTGTTCACACACGACTGTGATGTTATTTCATCTTAAACCATTGCTATGACGTCACACTATTGTTAAAAGTGTGGATTCGGATCTACGAATCTCTTACACTGGTCAGAAAGTGTGGATTCGGAACGACAAATCTTTAGTAAAGTGTGGATTCGGAATTACGAATCCACACTTTGAACACGTCGGACAATTGTTCAATTCTCCATAATGAGCATGAATAGGATCGTCTGCGTGAAAATTTGCTTTCCGAAAATTACCAATGCATCTTCACTGTCAGATTTTCCGCCGTCACTGAAAAATCTACTTTTAGTCAGAAAGAAATCGTCGTCTGAACTATCCATTTTGACGTCAGGAGCCTATACACACAAAATGACTTGGTTGTACGGGTGTGGCGATACACATGCTAAACACGCCAGGAAAAAATGTTGCAACCTGACGCCACTTCCGCACTTGTGTACAACGTCTATGGGAGAGTCATTTCAAGTATTTCCTAACAATTTTGGAAACATTTATCAGTCCCAGATTCATGTCTTATCATCATTGTTGCAACGAATGGCCTTCATTGAGATGATATATGAAGAAAAAAAGTGGCGTCAGGTTGCAGCGTTCTTTCCAATACTTCTGTTGACGCAATGGTTTAAGTCGAAGAATACACTCGCAAGTGTGGATTCTTAATTTACGAATTCACTCGGCGCTTCGCGCCTCGTGAATTCTTAAATTACGAATCCACACTTTCTCGTGTATTCTCCTTAACATAAAGTTGCGTTGCTTTATTGTTAGGTGCCCTTTTTTCTGTCGACGGTAACTTTTTTGTCAGTGGTGGTTCATCGTTCACATCCTTACAGTTATAAAATACTAACTGCAACACACTCCAGCGCCCCATATCGATCGCCACACGCAAATTTTAACTTGAACGCTCTTGACGTGTAACTATATACTGGCGCAGTACGCCGTTGCAGCTGGCGGTTTCGAGTATCAGAATCTTCGGTCAAACGCAGTTTTGAGTAATCGAATGCTACATTACTAAAAAATGGACGGTCCTATAAGACATGAGAATGCTATGTGCAGTCAATTTCCTACATGAAGTTCTTACTCCTTCTTAGTTTCTTACTAGTTCCCAATCGCCACTATACAATAAAGCGCAAAGAGTGTGTACGTGTGATCTTGTTAGCTTTATGTCTGAGGTCTTGAGTAACCTGCAATAACAATAACCCTGATGACGTGAGCCCAAGTCTTTTGAAGTTTTTCGTGTACAAACCTTATGGGCATGTCGAGAAAATGTTCAAGTCCAAACAATAGGAACAAACGCAGGGAACAATAAGGTTCCTCAGAAGTATAGTAAAACACGACAACTTGTCATTGTAACTTACCGCATGCCGGGCCATAAAATACGGACACCATCCGTTCTCACGACCAGCTTCTTTTAAGTCATCCAGACTGTATGCGCCGGCAGCCATGGGGATATCTCGTCCTTGGGCATCAAAATCCTGAGCCAAAAAGAAACACCCAGCACGTGAACATTAATAAAATGCTTCAGATAATTGCACAGTTGAAACTTTGGACGAGATTTGCTATTCAAAATGAAGAGGGAAGATTACTGGTAAAGTAAAGGTAAAGGGGACGAACCTGTTTTCACAGGAACGGAGTGCCCATCTCTCTTTCGTTAGCGATTGGGCCAGACTCATATGCTGCTGTGGGGGGATCGCCACACCTCCTCCACAGCGAGTCTGTTACCTTCCCAGCAATGAATAACGCCAGTACCCATTTAACACCTGGGTTGAGAGGAGTAATTGAGGTAAAGTGCCTTACTCAAGGGCACAACACGCATGGCCACGGCGGGGCTCGAACCCACAAACTCACGATCATGAATCCTGTGCTCTACTGCTAGACCAATTTCCATATAAATTCAAGTGATTTTGTCCTAGATACATTGTAGATACCATATTGCTCTGTGTTCGGGCAATTTCTATGGTGTGCACAACATCTCGTCATATGGAGATCTTATCAGTGGTTCTCAGTCACTCGGTTGTAGTCGGCGGTAGAGTGGTGTTTAAACTGTTTAAAACCACCAACGTAAGGGACGTTCAACCAACAGGAATAGGTACACTGTCCAAGATATTTATGAATTAGGATTTAAACCAAACCTAGTACATGTACAAACCTCAAAGAATGAGCAGACTGGCACAGTCGGGTCGTAGTTATGTCTCTCCCGAACAAAGGAGGCAGTCAGCTCGTGGCATTTATGATCTACCAGCTTCCCTGTGTGTTCCTTGCTGACCTGTCAGTGAAAAGAGGAAATACAGTTACTACAAGGCATAACTAGAGCATGCTGGGGAGTCAGGTTGGCGTAGCGGTACTTTCCTCGCCTTCCACCGCTGTGACCCGGATTCGATTCCCGCCTGGGCCAATATGTGGATTGGGTTTTCAGTCCCTGCCTGATTCCGTGGGTTTTCCCTAGAATATTCCTCTGGGCTTTTCCTCCCAGCTCTAAAACTGTCATTTCTTCTCATTCTCTTCTCTCTAAGTTTGTGTGATGTTTCCCCCGGGATGTTTTGCTGACTATATGATACAGATAAAGTAAAGTAGCAGTATTAAACTTGTACCTTCAGACATGCTAAAAGGTAACACAATCTGATGCAAGGTCTGTTCTGGGAGGGGGAAACTTGGGTTTTTCCAGGTAAAAATACTTTCCCTTCTATCCCTGAATCTCTTCTACTCCGCATTGGTGCTTTGCCTTCCACCCGTGCATGCTTTTGTGTCCCCTTGTTTGGTTCTGCCCCCTGTCATTTTGCCTTTGAGAAAGACATTGCCAGGATCGAAACATCATCAGGTCTTCTAACTTTTTTGAAAATTACCTTCATAGAACTTTGTTTTTGTTTTGTACAACATTTAACCAATTTTATCCCAGATTAGTCCATTTTGCAGCAGAACATTGCTATACCGAACACCGCTATACTGAACATCATCCTTGGCTCCAAAATGTACCGAACATTGTTGTTGAAAAATGTCAACAGAGGAGCAACAAGTGGCTATAATTATTTCCCCAAGGAATAAAGGGGAAACCCCCCATTGCTGTAGGTACGTAGTAAGCTCAAAAACTGTTTACATAATTCAATAGTCGGCATGTGTCCAAAGTCGTCTTTCAGTAACTACCAGGGCGTGCAGGGTAAAGTTCTGAAGGGTGCTATTTGTTGAAGAGTACCGGAGCACCAACAGCTTAAAATCGCTATACCGAACGATCGCTATTATGAACAATTTATGTGGATCACAAGATGTTCGTTATAGCGGCATTCCATCCAATATCACATTTCAATGTGACAAGCAATTCATTTCATAAGAGACAATACATGTAGCTTAGGCCCAAAAAAAGTCTCCGGTTTCTGGTATGAAGCTTGCCCAAAAAGTGGTGCGGTGACGCGGTTTTATTTTTTTTACCTGATTTTTTTGCTTCAAATGTCGGCTGATGACTGCAAATGGTGCCCGACTAAACTTAATGCAAATACATGTATATGGGAGTCCAGAGAGGACACATAATGCTTATTCTTGACCATAACCCAATCTAAAAACACGTTAAAATCGTGCAGCAACAGGATTCCAGTCAAACCAGTGAGTTTGGCGGTTTTGAGACATCATCTTTCATTGAAATTTTTTTTTCTTATTTTGCCGACGCGCATGGCTATGGCAACGCGCGCGCATACGAGAAACGGGAGACTTTTTTTTGGCCTTAGTCATTGTTTAACCACTGCTACTACTGATGACTGGTTTGTGATTGAACTTGTGATTTGACCTATAATGGACAGTTTATTCGACTTATCTGACTTGATAGAGAGTTTATTTGTGATTTTACTTGTGATGAGACTTGTGGTGGACTTCACTTGACTACAACTAAAAGTATTCAAGAAAAGCCTGCTGATATTAAATCTGTTAAACATCAAAAGCAGAGCTTACTGTAATTATAGTCCCCAGCCCTCACACCTGCAACCTGGACATCCCAAAATAGGAGTTTGCTTGCAGTATTTATCCAGAACTATCTGCATGGTGAATATTGAACAAAAAAGCTGCACACTTTCTGCCCACCTGTGGATGGATGCACATGTTCTTCCTGGAGCTCAGCACCAGACCAAGAATGTTGGCCGGTTCACCAGTCTCCTTCTCATAGTACTCTACCAATCCTTTCAACTCTTCTAGAACCTGCAAAATATGATAATCAAATTACATAATTTTTTTTCTTCTAATTATTTCAAATTATTATATTTTCCAAAGTGATATATACTGATATAGACACAATGGTCTGCCCTGAGCCATGTGATATTTAACAGCATAGCTAGTTTTAGTTTTAACACGTCTTGTCTTCCTATAAAGCTGCATTATACGCCCACCACTTTGTTTTAAATTTGAAAACAAAATTTGAGATGAGATCTAACGATTCTTTGCTGAATATCAGACGACTATTTATTATATGCTGAATAAATTCATACACAAATCACCGAATTGTGCTATAAATACACCTACGACGTGTCACACCTATGACATGTTTAATTTCGTGAAATGAATCGCACGACGCGTCACAGCACTGCGATGCATCGTAAATTATGAACTTTATGAAATCGGGTGCTGGTTTGAGACTGCACGACTTGTGAATGACTTGCGATGACTGTCGGCGATTTGACTGACTGAGTTGTTTCTTGCACTCATGTTATCAAAAACATAAATAACTTCTCAAAGCCACCGCCTCACACTCCTAGATGTATGTACTGTCAAATTGGTCGACTTTGTTTGGCTTACCTTTTCGATTTCTGGCACCGTCCTGGAGCAGTAGATGAGTTTGGTGAGATCCGAGGGATTGGTCCTCAGGTAGGCAACAATTAAGGACAGGAGGGAGACTGTCTTGCCAGTGCCTGAGGGCATCTCAAGGACGCAGTGACCCTGAGGGAAAATAAATTGAAAGAGCACATTCGTTTATGTTTGGATAACATATGGTGAATGATCCCATGTCCAATGTCTAATACCAACCCTAATCTGCATAGAGTTATGATGAATATAACAGAAAAGGATTAAAGGTACTTATTATTCCCTCAATTTGCATTACCTGTATCTTAAGGCCTTTTCACTCCAGACAAATATTGGGGATGCAGGGTTGACGCAGGATTGAAAACATGTGGCGTATCACACTTGAACATTTTCAACCCTGCACCAAACCTCAGCAACCCCGAGATGGATTTTGCCCGGGGTTGAACTCAACCCTGCTCCAGACCAGGGTTCACCGGAGTGTCGCTGGGTTGAGTTCAACCCGGTTTAGAGGATCTAGTGTGAAAAGGCCTTTACACGTAAGTACATGTAACTCAGTTTATTTTACCTTTTTAACCTATCAAGTGCGATTACAAAATGGATGAATTTGAACAAAATGGCACAGATTTCTATCTAATAAAATTGCACTGATTTCCTAGAGATTTATTAATAATTGGAAACCCAAATACACGCTGGTAAGATACTTGAATTTAAATACCTTGATCCTCAACCACGGCTACTGTGCAATTTATCATGCCAAAAAAAACCCCTTGCCATGAGAACGTGAAATTTGTTTGTCCAGTACACCAAATTATTTTCAGAATAAGCTTTAAACATGGTAAATTTTCAGTCAATATTCACTGAGGGCACTTTGGCCAAGACAGTGACAATGAAAGCACAACTGAAGTGTTGACTCATGCGCATCACAGCGGAACAAAGACCTGTTCCCAGTGGTGATGTCAGAATCAGATGAAGAGGGGTCCATCAGCTTAAAAAAAAAAAAAAAATCAGAATGTGTTACGCCAACTATTCTATCATCCCAACTTACTTTGGGACTGTCCCCACCGTAGCTGGGACTTCCCCAACTTTAATTGGGACTTCCCCAATGTTAGTTGGGACTTTCCCAGCTATAGTTGGGGCCATTGCAATACAATAGTTGGGGCATTACATCTCCAATGTCAAGAACTAGACACCCAAGAATCACCTTTGCATCCAGAGCTCGTTTGAGCTCCAGCATGTACGTGTACTGTTCAGGGTAGATGTAGTCATATGGGAAATACACCAGTAGCCCATCCACGTTTAATCTGAAGAACAAAAGAGAAAAAGTAATTGACAAATTAAAATGATAATATCACCTCTTCAAGTTGGTGTCATTTCAAAAACATGAAATACAACTGCTAGTCTATGGCCCGCACTGGAGTAGACTTAGCCCCATAAATGTGGCCTATTTACTGGACTGCCTCCGTAAACATAGGCCACACATCCACATGTACAAAAATCGTGTCGACTTTGCCAAATTTTGATTTTCACATTTAGGCTTAGTTTGTAGGTTTTTTTGCTTTAGAAGCATACTCACCCTCTTTATAGGCTAATCAGAAAGTGCTGCCTTTTTAGATGTATATTTTTTTGTGAAATTTCCAGATTCATTTTTACACGTTTGCGTATCAAAATTTCAACATGAAATTTCACAAATATTAGACATCTGAAAAAGGCAGCACTTTCTGACTAGCCTATAAAGAGGGTGAGTATGCTTCTAAAGCAAAAAAATCCTACAAACTAAGCCTAAATGTGAACATCAAAATTTGGCAAAGTCGACACGATTTTTGTACATGTGGATGTGTGGCCTATGTTTACGGAGGCAGTCCAGTAAATAGGCCACATTTATGGGGCTAGAGTAGACTCTGCATTCCAGGTTCATACGTACGTTCTCTCAGAAGGTTGGTAATTTGAAATAAAATAAAATTCATGAAAATCATTTGAACCCATACTCCGCATGCGGGTTCATTTACGCTAACCTCTCAATATTTGCCTGATATTAGGACTTCCTCGAGCTTCCTTAAGGTGAAATTTGTCTCTTATTAAAAACTCATTTGTCAATCAAGGACGAAGTGGAAGTTCGTGACAGGCAGCTGAGCTGAGTATAATAAGTAGTCAGTTCTCCCACCAAAAGATTTCCCTTTCTTTAACATACACACATGAACTTCTACTTCGGTTGACAAAACATTAATTTTTCAGAGCCGAATTTCACCAGAAGGAAGCACAGGGAAGTCCTAATTTTGGGCAAATATTGAGAGGTAAGTAACTTAAGTTAACACTAACAGGTTAAGGCATAATGTAAGGTAAAGTGAACCTGCATGCTGAATATACTGAATGATTGCCATGATTTTTTTCAGTTGTCAAACGACTAACCTTCTGAGTGTCTTATACGATTATAAAAAGGTCTAGAATTTCAAAGCTACCAGACAATGACTTACTTCATAATTGTTGTAAAATCTTCAATTTCTGCACTGTCCAAACTCTCTAATCACAGGCTTCATGCACGTAATGCATTGCATGCGCGATCGGTAAATAACATGTGACTTGAGCGCCCTCTAGAGCCTAGACCAAACCCCCCAAAATAAGATAGTTTTCAAACCTCGACTTCGTTTCGAAAGTGGTTCGAGATACAGCTTCTTTATTTAAGACCCCGTACTTGGAAGAATACGGCATAATATAGGTCTTTCGGTTTTCTTAAACATATTAAATGTTATAATGTTAGATGAATATTATGGCATTTCCATTTGTTTTGAATATCAAGGGCTTGTACAGAATTCTGAATCTTTTGATAGCCCAAGTGCATAGAAAACCGGTGTTAATAAACCGTGGACGAATCCAAGAAATTGATGAAGAAGGAATTGCAGAATGGAGATTTGTAGGTTGTTTTCCTCCGTAGATTCAGCCATTTTACAAGCAGATATTTTATACTACATGAAGAATTGATACTTTTTTATATACATTAAATGATATTAGACGAAAAAACACCCGGAAGGCTATTTCAAAAATGGTTAAAACAGCCCTATAAAAATGTGGAGTAATCCAAATTAGTCTTAAGCTAGACTCTTTATGCGATTAAAACGTATACGATTGAATATGGTACCAGTCTTAAATGCATTACGGTCTGGTTCCCATTGTATCCTAACGATTTAACTATATTTGATCAGTACATGAAACCTGCCTACAACATCTGGCATTATCGATTACGCGCGCGGGATGGCCGACGTCGGAGGAAGACCGGACAAAATTCCGGCGAAGTTTTCCCGATTTAACTTCGCCGTCAATCATAACCCCCTCCATCTGGGCATATCAAAGAGTGCATCCAGCCTATTGCTTGGTGAAAAGTTCGATAATTACGTTATCGTGTCCTTAATTCGATCGGGAGAGTCCGTAGAATGTGGGCGTGATGTTGAACTGTTCGTGTGTTTACACATTCTCAGTGATGAGCTGGTACGAAGGTCGATATCACTGTGCCAGGTGTCGGAGAGCCCGGGGACCCTGACGCTGTATGCCAGCGAGCGGTTCCATGGACATTACAGAATTGCCGACTCGGAGGATGTCTTCATCCGAGTAGTCAAGGCTTTTCCTCTGACAAAAGTTGTGTTTGGGGCAAGATCAGCAAGGTGTTACGAGTGGGCCCGAAACCGTCTTTTCAGCACAGAGCTGCTGGTGTCAACATGCCAGCAAAAAGTCCTGGTTCGTTCTGGCGATGAATTCCTTGCACCTGTGATTCACAAGTTTAGTAGGGATGAGACGCACAGTCTCTCAAATTATCAGGACCTGGTTGCCCTTGAGTGTGAACCTGTAATGCAGGGAATCATATCTGTCAATACTTCCATTGTAATCACACACATTGATGACGGTAGGCATTCTCAGGTAGAGGTACCCAGAGGAAAAGAGGAGATTGATGACGAAGCCTTGAGAAATGGTTTTCTCAATGGGTTTCCAGATCCACTTATCATATCTGAATTCGCCTGCCAAAGGGATGCCCCTAATGTGCTTTATCTGAGACCGGTGATTATTCCCAAAATCTCGACCCATGTAACTGCAACTGTCAATCACCTGACATGCACTGAGGACCAGTGCGAGACGGAATTAAGAGTGGGCGTCACTAAAGCCACTCTCATTGAACTCTGTGCCTTAAATGGTAGCTGGGTAGTTGTGTCCATTCCTTGTGGCGAAAACGGCAGAGAAAGTGACACAGAGTTGGTTGAACAACCTGATTCGGTGCCGCAAGAAAAGGGCTGCCAGGATGTCGAGACATCTCCAGAAAGCATGAAAGTGACAGACATCGAGGCTGCGAAGACTGCCAAAGAATCAGCCCATCTTGCCCAGGTGTTTGTCATTGATCAGAAGCAGTTTGGGACGGCCTCTGATTTGAAAGATGGCGATGATAGAAATGTTGCAGATGCATCATACGACAAGGAGAGAAGGGATGGAGAAGATGAATTATTTCCAGATAATGAAGTCTTGTTTCTCTCGCCTCGTCTGTGGTTCAATCTCCAGCATCATCCATCGCGGCTTATACAACCAGACGCGGTGGTTTCAATATGGGTAAGTTTTGACAAATGTTGCCTCGTGAGTAAAAAAAACCATCATAATCATATTGAGCTGAAAATTATGAAAACTACAGGGTTACACGTTCAGTACTGCATACAAATTGGGGTTAAACCCCAGTTTTGACGTTGACTGTGCACTGGCTTCACACAAAATGTTTTTTATATTTACTTCACAATTAATATGCAAATGAGCTGACACTATGTGCAAAGAATGTAACTTTTTTTTGTATCCACAGGAATTCATTCATCTTACAATGTACGTGTACCAAAGACCTGTCTAGACAAGTTTACATATTTTCAGTGCCAGTGATTTAATTTATTTCATTGTTTTAATACCAGTGTTTGTATTTTATGCATAAATGCAAAACAATTTGCATAATTAGCTTTCGCCATTGCCAAGAACACCAAATAATGCAATATTTTTTCATCCAGATTGGCAGGAATTTGTCCAAACGCAGAAAAATGAGGTGTCTGGTAGCAGTGGCCACATGTGTTCAGGGTCAACTGTTACATTAAAAAGCCACAGTTTTAATGCTAATACATATTGCATGATTAAATAAATTAGCTTTTGCCATCTTTAGATGCATAGGCCTATTTAGACTGCGTATTCCGTGCCAACGCAACATACACTGTACATTGTACATGTGCGTGCACATACATTTAGGGTTTGGCTCGTCATCAATTCAGATTTTGATACCAATTAAGTATCATACAGGTCTGAACAATACAATGTATGTACATTGTACATGTACACATGTACATTGTGTTCCTCTATGTGTCAAAAGGATGAATTTCAAGTAGCGTGTCTCATCTCTTTGTCGTTTCTGACCCCATTATTCTGACATTTTCTGGAAAGATTTTCAAGAATTTCAAGAATTTCAAGATTTTAGGGAGAAGCAGGAACTGGAAGATTTCCAGATATCTACATGTATACATTTGTAACTGAAAGATTAAGAATATTTGAAGATTACAGGTTTCAGGAAGACTCCGGATTACACCTCTGTGGATGACCCACTAAGACCCAGATACGCCATTACGATTACGACTACGATTTTCAAGATTTCAAGATTTCAAGATTTTAAGAAGACTCAGGAATTGGAAGATTTAAAAATTTCAAGGCAACTGAAAGATTAAAGAGATTTTAAGATTACAAGGTTCAAGGAAGACTCACGAAGACCCAGAAACTCCACGGAGGTCTCAGATTTTCAAGATTTCAAGAATTTAAGAAGACTCAGGAGTTGTGAGATTTCAAGATATCAGGAAAACTAAGAAGATTTCAAGATTCAAATTTCAGGAAGAATCAGTAAAAACCCAGGAAGACCAGAGGGACTCAGATTTTCAGGAATCTCAAGATTTCTAGATTTAAGGAAGATTCAGAAGCTGCAAGATTTCAAAAATTCAAGATCACTGAAAGATTAATAAGATTTCAAGAATATCTGTTTCAAGAAGACTAGGAGCCAGAAACCAAGAAGGACTCAGATTTCAAGATTTTAAGAAGACCAGGAATTGGAAGATTTCAAGACAACCAAAAGATTAAGAATATTTTACAAATTTTAGAAGAAATTACAAATTTCAAGAAAACTCTCAAAGTCCCAGAAAAACCAAGAATGACTCAGATTTTCAAGATTTTAGGACGACTCCGGCGGAGTTGCAAGATTTCAAGATATCTGGAAGATTAAGATGATTTCAAGATTTGAGTTTCAGGGAGACTCATTAAAACCCCAGGAAGACCCAGAAGGTATCAGATTTTCAAGAATCTCAAGATTTCTAGATTTTAGGAAGACTCAGCTGCAAGATTTGAAATTTTCAAGATCACTGAAAGATGAAGTAGATATCAAGATTATACATGTGAGGAAGACTCACCAAGAAGGACCAAGGTTTCCAAGATTTCAAGAATTTAGGAAGGACTTGGGCCCTGCAAGATTTCAAGATTTCAGATAACTGAAAGATTAGGAAGATTTCAGGATTACACCTTTCAGGCAGACTCGCAAAGACCATAGACACCACGAAGGACTCAGATTTTCAAGAGATTCATGATTTTAGGAAGACTCGGGAGTTGAAAGTTTGAAAGACTTCAAGGTATCTGGAAGATTAAGAAGAGTTCAAGATTCAAGTTCCACAAAGACTCATTCAAAGCCCAGGGAGATCAAGAAGGACTCAGATTTTCAAGAATGTCAAGATTTTAAGAAGTCCCAGGAATTCAACGTTTTCAAGATTTCAAGAGAACTGAAAGATTAAGCAGATTTTCAGATAACAAGTTTCAGGAAGACTCTCGCAGACCCAGAAACACCAAGAGTGACTCAGATTTTCAAGATTTCAAAATTTTTGGAAGCAATCAGGAGCTGCAAGATTTTAAGATTTCAAGATAACTGAAAGATTAAAAAGATTTCAGGATAACACCTCTGAGGAAGACCCAGAAACACCAAGAAGGACTACGATTTTCAAGATTCTCAAGAATTCAAGATTTTAAGAAGACCAGGAATTGGAAGACTTCAAGATCTGAAGACCACTGACATATTAAGAAGATTTTCAGGAAGACCCAAACAGACCCAGAAACACCAAGAAGGACTCACATTTCAAAGATTTCAAGATTTTAGGAACAGTCAGGTAGACTCGGGAACTGGAAGATTTCAAGATGGCCAGATAAGTGAAAGATTAAGACTTTCATAGACCCAGAAACACCAAGAAGGACTCAGATTTAGATTTCAAGATTTTAGGAAGGATTCAGAAGCTGCAAGATTTCAAGGTAGACATGATAGATGAAAGATTAAGAAGATTTTTAAGATAACAGTTTTCAGGAAGACCCAGTAAGACCCAGAAACACCAAGAAGGACTCAGATTTAGATTTCAAGATTTTAGGAAGGATTCAGAAGCTGCAAGATTTCAAGGTAGACATGATAGATGAAAGATTAAGAAGATTTTTAAGATAACAGTTTTCAGGAAGACCCAGTAAGACCCAGAAACACCAAGAAGGACTCAGATTTCCAAGATTTCAAGATTTCAGGAAGGATTCAGAAGCTGCAAGATTTCAAGGTAGACATGATAGATGAAAGATTAAGAAGATTTTTAAGATAGCAGTTTTCAGGAAGACCCAGTAAGACCCAGAAACACCAAGAAGGACTCAGATTTCCAAGATTTCAAGATTTCAGGAAGGATTCAGAAGCTGCAAGATTTCAAGATAACTGAAAGATTAAGAAGATTTTAAGATTACAAGTTTCAGGAAGACTCATTTAAAACCCAGGAAGATCCAGAAGGACTCAAATTTTCAAGAATGTTAAGATTTTAAGATGCCCCAGGAATTCAAAGTTTTCAAGATTTCAAGATAACTGAAAGATTAAGAAGATTTTAAGATTACAAGTTTCAGGAAGACTCTCAAAGACCTAGAAACACCAAGAAAGACTCATATTTAGATTTCAAGATTTTAGGAAGTATTCAGAAGCTGCAAGATTTCAAGATAACTGAAAGATTAAGAAGATTTTAATATTACATGTTTCAGGAAGACTCTCAAACATCCAGAAACACCAAGAAAGACTCAGATATCCAAGATTTCAAGATTTTAGAAAAGATTCAGAAGCTGCAAGATTTCAAGATTTCAAGATTTCAGGAATACCACTGAGGAAGACTCACTAAGCCCCAGAAACACCAAGAAGGACTAAGATTTTCAAGATTCGCAAGATTTCAAGATTTTAAAAAGACCAGGAATTGGAAGACTTCAAGATCTGAAGACAACTGACAGATTAAGAAGATTTTAAGATTACAAGTTTCAGGAAGACTCTCAAAGACCCAGAAACACCAAGAAGGACTCAGATTTCCAAGATTTCAAGATTTTACGAAGGATTCAGAAGCTGCCAAATTTCAAGATAACTGAAAGATTGAGAAGATTTCAGGATTACACCTCTGAAGAAGACCCACTAAGACGCAGAAACACCAAGAAGGACTATGATTTTCAAGATTCTCAAGAATTCAAGATTTTAAGAAGACCAGGAATTGGAAGACTTCAAGATCTGAAGACAACCGACAGATTAAGAAGATTTGAAGATTACCAGTTTCAGGAAGACCCAATAAGACCCAGAAACACCAAGAAGGACTCACATTTTCAAGATTTCAAGATTTTAGGAACACTCAGGTAGACTCGGGAACTGGAAGATTTCAAGATGGCCAGATAAGTGAAAGATTAAGACTCTCATAGACCCAGAAACACCAAGAAGGACTCAGATTTAGATTTCAAGATTTTAGGAAGGATTCAGAAGCTGCAAGATTTCAAGATACATGTAGCTGAAAGATTATGAAGATTTTTAAAACTACAAGTTTCAGGAAGACTCTCAAACATCCAGAAACAGCAAGAAGGACTCAGATTTCTAAGATTTCAAGATTTTAGGAAAGATTCAGAAGCTACAAGATTTCGAGAATTCAAGATTTCAGGAATACCACTGTTGAAGACTCACTAAGACCCAGAAACACCAAGAAGGACTAAGATTTTCAAGATCATCAAGATTCTCAAGATATTAAGAAGACCAGGAATTGGAAGACTTCAAGATCTGAAGACAACTGACAGATTAAGAAGATTTTAAGATAACAAGTTTCAGGAAGACCCAATAAGACCCAGAAAACACCAAGAAGGACTCAGATTTCCATGATTTCAAGATTTTAGGAAGGATTCAGAAGCTGCAAGATTTCAAGATAACTGAAAGATTTAGAAGATTTTAAGATTACAAGTTTCAGGAAGACTCTCAAACATCCAGAAACACCAAGCAGGACTCAGATTTCCAAGATTTCAATATTTTAGGAAGGATTCAGAAGCTGCCAGATTTCAAGATAACTGAAAGATTAAGAAGATGTCAGGATTACACCTCTGAAGAAGACCCACTAAGACCCAGAAACACCAAGAAGGACTATGATTTTCAAGATTCTCAAGATTTCAAGATTTTAAGAATACCAGGAATTGGAAGACTTCAAGATCTGAAGACAACTGACAGATTAAGAATATTTTAAGAT